GGCTCACCTTCCTCGGCGGGGGCTGCATGGCGGCGGCGGGGCCGCTCTGGGCCTCCACATCAATCCCTTCCCCGCCCTGGACGGCGGCGGCAATAGTAATAAGAAGAGCGGCAAAGAGAAGGAGACGCCAGACGCGGTCCTTCTTCTCCTTCTCCTTCTTCTGCAGCAGCAGCCGAAGCGAGCGGTGGGAGGGGCGGCGCGAGGATGAGGAGGGGGCGTGGCCGGGAGAGAGGGGGCGTGTCCAAATTGGGAGGGCGCGCGCGGACAGTATGTGCGCGCGTGAGAAGCTCGCGCCACCTAGCGGTCGACAGGGAGTTGGCTGATGGAGGGGAAAGGGGGCGTGGCCGAAGAAAGGCTGGAAGGAATGGGAGCAAGACACACTCTGGAGGAAACATAAGTGAAAGGGAGGCGTGGCCAAAAAAAACCCACGTAAGGGGCGTGGCCAATATGGAGGGGCGTGGTCAAGGAATTGTCCATTTTCTTCACTCAGTAAAGGAGAGAGCGTGAAAGAGTGCGCGTGCGCAGAAGGGTCGAGGAGGGGAACCAGACAAGGCAATGCCGCACACTCTGGAGGAAAAAAAAAGGTGAATGGGAGGCGTGGCCAAAACGGAAGGGGGCGTGGCCAAGAGGGAAGGGGCGTGGTCAAAGAATTGTCCATTTTCCTCAGTAAGAGAGAGAGTGGAAGAGTGCGCGTGCGCACAAGGATCGAGGAGGGGGGAAAGGACAGTGAGAAAGGGGCGTGGCCGAAAAGGGGCGTGGTCAAGAGACTCGGTAAAGGAGGTAGAGAGAAAGAGTGCGCGTGCGCAGAAGGATCTCCGAAAAGAGGAAAGGGAGCGAAGGGGCGTAGCCTTTAAAGAGGGCGTGACCAAGGGGGCTGTATTTCTCCTTGTAAAAGAGAGAGCGAGAAAGAGGGAAAGGAAAGGGAGACAAGGGGGCGTGGCCGAAAGGGGGCGTGGTCAAGGACCTGTCTCTCACTTGGTAAGTGTTTCTCTCACTTGGTAAGGGAGAGAGAGAGTGAGAAACTGCGCGTGCGCAGAAGGATCTTCGAGGAGAGGAAATGGAGAGAAGGGGCGTGGTCTTAAAAGGGGGCGTGGCCAAGGGGTTGCATTTCTCTTTGTAAAAGAGAGCGAGAAAGAGGGAAAGGAAAGAGAGGGAAGGGGCGTGGCCTAAAAGGGGGCGTGGTCAACGACATGTCTGTTTCTCTCACTTGGTGAGGGAGAGAGCGAGAAAGTGTACGCGTGCGCAGAAGGATCTCCGAGGAGAGGAAAGGAAGAGAACGGCTGTGGCGTTAAAAGGGGGCGTGGCCAAAAGCGAGAACGAGTACGCATGCGCATCAGAATCTCCGAGGAGGGGGAAAGCAAAGGGAGAGAAGGGGCGTGGCTTAGAAGGGGGCGTGGCCAAAGAACTGGATTTCCCTCACTTGGTAAGGGAGATAATGAGAAAGAGTGCGCGTGCGCAGAAGGATCTTCCGAGGAGGCGGAAGAAAATGGAGGGAAGGGGCGTGGCCTAAAAGGGGGCGTGGTCACGAGATAATGAG